TAAAAAATATTATATATATATATATATATATATATATATATTAAAAAATTATATAATATGTTTTTCCCCTTTAAAACTTATTAATTTCATTTTATTTCATGCTATTTTAGTAATTTAAAAATAAATACAAAACTTAACAATTTTTTGAATTTTCGTGTCTCTAATAATTATTTACTAATAAAATATTAGAAAATTATGTATAATTATTTTAAAAAAATTTAAGATTTTTTTTATATATGGAGTATAATGGTCCATTAAAAAATAGAGACAAAAAAACAGTTATATTTCTAATATTTCATTTATAATAGTTATAGATATATAGTCCGTTAATTATATTATTTTATTTTTGTTTAAAAAATAAAAGTAATACGGAAACCATTTTATTTTTAAATTACTTTGGATTTGTGTCTGAATGTTTGATCACTTTGATGTTTCTGCCTTGCGTTCATTTATTTGTTCAGCAGTGACGGATAGATATGCACGTGGAACACGTGGGAGTGGAGTGGTATGGTAGATATTTCGATTTATTTTATTAGATTTTTCATTTTTATTTTTTACATACGGGTCTCAAATAAAGTGCTACCTAATTACCTGCGGTCGTAATCTAATAATTAATAATATAATGACAAAAAGTTATACGATATCTTCATTTTTTGCCAAAACTTTTTTATATAAATATTATTATAAAAATAAAATAAATTAATAAATCAATATAAAAACTAATCAATTTGCAAAAAAAAAGAAGTATAAAATCAATACTCATAATTACTGTATTTTACACGTATAAAATTTGCTTCTAATAATTCCTTCCAAATGAATATGTTCTAGATATTTATTTCCTTCAATAATTTTCTCTTAAATATATTTATATATATTATTATAAAAATATTATAAAAAAATATATGTAAATAAGTATATTAAAATTAAAAAAATGGATAAAATGTTTTAATAATTATTAATCATAATTAAAATTTCACAATAATATGAAATAAACTGCTACTAAAAATAGTGCAATATTTTTATTATTACTAAATACTTGTCTTTTTTCTCCAATAACTCTCTTCTAAATATTTTTATATAATATTACTATAAAATATTTTATAGTTGGATGACGATTATGAAAGCACTAAAGAATCAACGAGTAACACTGCTTGCACCATGATTGCAATCGGCCACTGCAATTAGAAATGAGTTGAAGAATCAACGATTAAGACCGTTTGCAACACGATTGCAACTGGCCATCACTATTAGAAGTGAGTCGAAGAATTAATGAATAGGATCGCTTGCAATACAAATTTCAAAAGGTTATCATGATTAAAGGTAACGAGTTCATCAACTACATCTATTTTGTTAGTCTCTTTTAAGCCTATGAGGGTAAAAGTAAAAAAATTGCCAAGTGAAGGTTGTGAACTTGAAAGTTTTCATGCACCTGGGAGCCTATGTACCCTTTCAAAAAAAATGTTGAGTGGAGGTTGTGGACAACATCCTCCCACACCTTTTGCACAAGGCTGGGAGCTTGTGTACCTTCTTGAAAAAATGTCGAGTGAAGGTTGTGAACTTAAAACTCTTCCCACACCTTGTGCACAAGGTTGGGAGCTTGTGTACCTTCTCAAAACAATATTGAGTGGAGGTTGAGAACTTGACAACCTTTTCACACCTTGTGTCCCTCTTGGAAAAATTTTGACTACTCAATCTTCTTTAGGTTGGTTGTTGATATTCTCCCAACCAACTTCTTAGTCTCTACACGTTGACTACCCAATCTTCTTTTCGGTGATTTCCCACCTCTGTGCATTAATAAGCATGTTGGTATATGATGACAAGTAACAAATGTTTTCCCTTATAATACTCATAAATAAACATTAAAATAAAACATCTATCACTTTGACAATTTTATAAACAACACCAAAATTATTAGGACCCATGTATACGAAATAAATGGATATTGACTTAGTCTCTACGCCTTTCATGCTCGAGGTTGGTGAATAAATACCCTCCCAACTTTTTGCCAAGAGTATTTGCCAGAGGAGTTTTGGACAAGTACAATGAACATTCATTAAGAGTTTGCTTCGACTTAGCCTTTACGCTTTTTATGCTTGAGGACAGTAGACAAATGTACCCTCCCATCCTTTTTTTGAGAGATTTTGATTAAGAAAATTTGGTCGAGTACTATAAATATTCACTAATAATGTGCTTTGACTTAGCCTTTACGCTTTTCATGCTCGATGATAGTGTGCAAGTGTACTCTCCAACCTTTTGTCGAGAGAGGTTATGACTAAAAGGATCTGGTTGAGAGGGTCTGGCCAATAGGTTTTGGCCAAGTATCCCACCAATCATATCCCTAATAGATAGAGTAGCCTAACCTTTAGAAAATGTTGACACAAATCCGACTTGAGACCCATATCTGACACAAAATCTTATCTTTGTTAACCAGGATCACATATTTGATGATAATTAACCACCTTATCAAATCTCAAAATTCTCAAGACCCGTAAACTCATAACAATAAAATATAAAAACTCTAACTCTAGGACATGGATAGATAAAATACACTCTTAATACTCTGACTTTAGTTAAGTGGTTAGATTAACCTATGTTATTTAAACCAAAACAAATACATACTTAAGAATTAAAATAATAATAAATCATTATTTTTAGATACTTAAACAAACCAATTAAAATATTTAACAATTTATTCACAATTTTCTTACTTTAATATACTTAAAATACTAGTCACATACACTTTCAGTATTATGATCTTCTGTATTATGACCCTGAAAGGCTATAGGATGCCGAATATTTAATAGAAGAAAACAAGAAATTTTTCCAATCGTGAACATAATTTATGGTGGATGGCAAAATTGGCATATGAATATTGAGTTGAGAGACATATAACATGGGCAGCAGTTAAATAATTAATAATTCCAAGCTGTTTTCTCGCCTGTTTTTTTTTTTTTTTTTTTCTTTCATTCTCCCCTGAGCTATGACCTAACGCACCACGTGGTCAACGCGTGCGTATTAGAAAATTGACGAACAAGCCATAAAATTAGTGAGTAATATTCGGAAAGAGAAAAAGAGGATAAACTTGGCATCTTATGCGGATGGTCTTATAGTCATGTGTGTTTTATAAATCATCTTGTTGCATTAATTTGTCTCCACCTCAACATATTATAGATTCGCTCTATTTTGAAAATAACTTCGGGATATATTTTTAATTTAATATTTATTTTCTAATAATAATATTTTTAATCACCATAAAATTATGAATTTTTAATCGATATATAACATTTTATATAATATAATATTATATTTATACTGATATTATTTATTTTAAAATCTACTATAATATATTTCAGTTTAGATTTATATTTTAATTCACCATTTGTTTATATATAAGTTTTTCTTACGACTTATTTATATATAAGCTAAGAATGATATATTATATTTATATTTGATTTTTTTAAAAATATTTCCTTTCCCAAACCATCTATTAAGACATATATCCTGTCTAAATATAAGTGGGAAAGACTTTTGAAATTTTTTTTACTAGAAAATAAATAATATTTTATGATAGAAAAAATTTCAAAAATATTTCTAAACTTGTATTTAAACATGCTTATTTCAAACATACATTTAAATCTTAATTTGTCATGTTATGAATGATTAACTCTTCTCACAAATTTTTATTGATCATCTTTAAATACATTGATCAACTAGTGTGAGACAGTTACAACTTAATTTGTGATTTAGAGTTTCAAAATTTGATACACACCTATATTAAATATCTTGAATTTGACTCAAAAATGATTTTCACAAAAAATTGTAATTTATAAAAAGTGATTATTATTGATTAATATTAATATTTATAATTTTAGCTAATTTTAATCCATTTCATATAGTTATATACTAATAACACTAGTTAATTTAGGTAATAATAATTTATGTAATACAAAAATATTTTTATATTATATTATTTATTTTAAAATTTATTATAATAATCTTAATTTTAATTTTAAAATTTTAAAATTTATACACTATATTAATAAATTAAATCATCCAGGTCTATCATAATTTATAGATTCAAAGAGTATATATATGAAGAATTCTTTTTTTTTAGAAAAAACAAAATTCATTAAAATAATCTATAAGTCTCAGAAATAAAAAAAGTACTTTTCAATTATCGATTAAAAATATGTTTGGTGCAAACTAAAAAGTAATAAATTAAATTAATCTTATTTTATCTGGTATATTAGCATTAAATTCTGATGAAATCATATATCAAGTTTAAAATTAGACTTTTTTTAATGAAAACTATCTTGAATAAGTGATCAACATGATAGTAAAGTAGAGGTGAGAACAAATTGATTTTAGATTAGATTTGTGTTATTTTTTTTATTTGATTCAATTAAATTTAATATAGTTAGTTTACATTAAGTTTTTATTTTATTTTATTTTATTTTTAAATTTGAATCAAATCAATTTGATTATAGTTAAATTTATTTAAATCAGATCACCAAATTTATCATTGAAAAATAAAATTTAAAAAAACCAAAAGTTGAAAAAAAAAAAAAGCTAATGTTATATTCATTTTCATGTAATATAAGTAGTTTTATCTATACTTAAACTTTAACCTTAACAAATTAAAAAAAAATATAACTATAAAAATGTGCGTAAATCATAAAATATTAATTAAAATGTTATAATATTAAGAAAGAATGCAGAATTTGATTGGCCTTTTATTCTAAATTCTAAATCAAATTTTTCTAGGATAAATTTAAATCTTTATAAAATTACATAAAAAGTATTAAATAAAAAGACTAAATTAAATTTTCAACATTAAAATCCATAATTCAATTCGAATTTATTAGATTTACAATTTTTTCAATTTGATCGGAACCGATCTAAATTTCGATTTAGATTATTCATTTAATTTGTTTTTTAAGATTCGTGGCCACCCATATAATAAACACAGGGTGGTTGGTGTTGTGGTTAGTCTATGCTGGAGCACGAAAACCAACGAAAATGACCAAAAAGCCCCGCACACGATTCATTATTTAGACATTATTATCCGCTAAGGTATTTTTCGTAATATGGTTGTGAAAATTGGAGTAATTGAGGATTATCATCGTGGGAGTAACTATTTAATGCGTAGAGTGTAAAGGGTTGGTTCTGAAACCGGGAATTTTCTGGTATCCAAAATCTCCAGAAGTTCAAATTTCGAAGCCTCCACGAAAAATATTGACAACGACCTAAGAGAAGGAGGTGGAGGATTGAGAACATCAAAGGGTTAGTGCAACAATTTAAGAGCCTCATTTCATCGTTAAGGGAACAAAAATCGAAATCGACATCGATTTTTTGATGCCCCAGATGGTTTTCTGAATCTGTAAGTCTACCCTTCTTAGTTCTTACAGTACAATCTTTCTATATTTGATTTATGTTTTCAACTTTGGATTTTCAGTCCTCCCCCATCATTTTTCTCTTAATGGGTGGGAAAAAGTCTTTTTGTTTTTTGTACATTAAATTGGTCTTTATGTTTTGTTAAATTTGTTTTTTTAAAATAAATTTTATTTGTGTTTGTCATGCAGTGGTGTTGCTGATCAGGAACCGTAATCATCAGTGGGAAGAGACAAAAGTTGGAGGAATAATTTATGTATGTCGTTGGGGTTGTTATGTTTGAAAGCAAGGTTTAAACTTTGAGGTCTATTTTTTTTTTTTTTTTGGAGGGAGGGGGGTGTTGTTCTCTCTCTCAGAAGAAAATACAATGAATGTGGTAGGCAAAGTTGGAAGCTTGATAACTCAAGGTGTGTACTCAGTTGCTACCCCATTTCACCCCTTTGGTGGCGCTGTTGATGTGATTGTTGTTCAGCAACAAGATGGGACATTTCGAAGCACACCTTGGTATGTTCGGTTTGGTAAATTTCAGGGTGTTCTCAAAGGTGCGGAAAAGATTGTTCGGATAAATGTTAATGGCGTTGAAGCCAATTTTCATATGTATCTTGACAATTCGGGTGAGGCTTATTTTTTGAAGGACGTGGATGATGATAAAGGGGTTGAGTCAATTGAGGTTGGTCAAAATTCTAGAGACAAAAAGCATAGCTATTTGAGTAATGGTCATAGACTTGATCATAGCATCTCAGATTCCGGGGTGCTTCGGTTGAAAGATGAGGGTGATTCCCCAGTTGCGCCTCGGATTCAAAGGGCTGAATCTGATGTTGATAGGAGATTTTATGAATTTCCAGATGATCGATCTTCTTTTGAAGATTCAGTTGAGTTGTCAGAGTATGAGTCTAATTCATACGAGAGCCTAGAGGGAGACAATTGTGTGGAGTCACAAGGTTCACATCCAGAGATGGTATTGGTAAGTGTTGATGGTCATATATTGACGGCTCCTATCTCCGAATCAGAGCAGACTGAGGAGAATGTGCAGTTAAAAACTCCTCAATTTCATCTGGGACCAGGTGAAGAGACCGACTTATGTGAAGGCAATGGAGAGTTAAGTACTGGTGAAAATGCTTGGGCTGCTGATTATATTAATCAGCTGGATGCCAGAACGACTGATGTCCAACCCAGACACTATGAGACTAATGGTAATGATAATACTTCTAAGCTCTTGCTTGAAGTTTGTCAAGGAGAGGAGGTACATGTTTGTCAAGCACAGGAAACCTTGGAAGTTAAAAATAAAGATCATATGAAAAATGAATCAGAAGGGGCTAAATCAAGAATCAAGAGGGAGACTGTTTTCAAAAGCTGTTTGGAGCTACAAGATTTTGGTCATCAGGCAGGAAATGGTGATATCCATGATATAGGTTCATCATTGGAGAATCAAAATCCCACAGAGGAATCTAATGCAAGTTGTCCTGTAGTAGATGAAAATGAACAAGAGAGCACTGTGCAATCAAAAAATGGTGACGAGTTATCACCTCCTAGTAATTCTACTTGTAATGGCCAAAGATCTCTAAAACCAGAATTGGAAATTCAAGAAGTTGAGAAAAATGCATCTGGAGAGGTTGAAACTGCTTCTGGCTCTCGTTCTGTTACTACTGATACTGAACAGAATGGTGAACATGTTGACAAGTCAGTATCAAATGATGAGGTAGATGAGAGTCAGCAGACCCTTGCACTCAAAGATGTTGGGGCTACAAGTGAGGTTGTGGAACCTCAAACAGAAACTAAGAATAAAGGGGATCAAAGCCATTTTGGTTTGGGTAAGACCAGTGCTGCAAATGAGTTGCACTTGGATTCTGCAATTGTTCATTTAATATTAATGCACTGTTTATTTACTTTCATTCATCTTACAATTTGCAGGATTTGAGATCTCACTTTGTGGTCATGAACTTAAGGTGGGCATGGGTTCAGTAGCTGCTGCTGAAGTGTTTGAAGCACATCGCATATCTGCAGTTGACTTCACAAGTTCTGCTCCATCAATAATTAAAAATCAAAATCTCGTTATCAAGTTTAAAGAGAGGTACTTGATGTGGGAAAAGGCTGCTCCTCTAGTTCTTGGAATGGCTGTTTATGGTTTAGATTTACCTGTTGAGCCCAAGGATACAATTCCTGTGGAACAGGATCATGCATTGAAGTCCAGGGATGATGATCAAGGATCATCTTCGTCTGGACGCAGATGGAGACTTTGGCCTATTCCTTTTCGAAAGGTCAAAACATTTGAGCATACTAATAACAACTCATCTAATGAGGAGGTATTTCTAGATTCTGAGTCTGGGTCTTTTGCAGACCCAACTCCATCATCCAGTACCCAGGGATCTCCGCATAAGCAATTTCTAAGAACAAATGTTCCCACTAATGAGCAGATAGCATCCTTAAATCTCAAAGATGGTCAGAATTTGGTAACCTTCAGTTTCTCTACAAGAGTTCTTGGAACACAACAGGTTTTGACATTCATATACTGTCTAAGTTCCTGTATAATGTTACAAGTATTTGGATTTTCTTTAAGAGAGAAATTTTAATTACATAACAGGTTGATGCTCATATTTATTTATGGAAGTGGAATGCAAGAATTGTAATTTCAGACGTTGATGGAACCATTACCAAGTAAGGCTTCTAATAATGCTTTTTAGGCTACCAAGTATTCTTTTAAAAATGACATTGATGCTACTTCACCATTGTTATTTTTCTTTACAACTCTGTACTCCATTTAGTTGGATGTATATTATAGATGAAATCCCTATATGTGTCCATACACCATAATGCAAGTTTTGGTAATCATTAATGCTATTGAGACCGTTACAAAGTGAAAAAGACAATAGAGAAGAAGGTACAGGATCAGCTTTGAATGTATGAAGTTTCAGATTTGTAGTTGTTTGTCATCTTAGAATCAGACTTTGTATAATCTGATGGTGCATTAAATGACTTTTAGTCCAAGTGGATGAACCAAAGCATCTGTCATTAGGTTGTGGGTATCCTATGTAAAATTCCGCTGCTGAGGTCTTTTTAGTTTTTTAGATTGTCTATCAGTGATGGTTGTGTTAGAGACTGCATCAGATAGGAAAAAGGTAGATAGAAAACACATGAAACTATGTTTATTGATGACTCCTCTGCAACAATGACTTTAAAGAGAAGATAAAATCTGAATGGCTAGTTGCAGATAATTGGGACTTTGAGAGCCTGGTCCCTCTTCTTACTTCTTACAACTTCCTTCAAAAGTGACTCCTTCCCCTACCTTCTTTCTGTTTATATCAGCATAACTGCCTAACTAATTCTCTATTAACTCTCCTTTTTATAAAGCCTCATTAACAGAGGTGGCTGCACAAGAATTGTGCCTAACTTATACCATATTTGGTTTTGTTAGCTATAAATTAGAGCTGTGCAAAAGAAAAAAAAAATGCAGTTAAGTTAAACCAAACAACACTTAAAAATTCCAAATAATGTAAATGGATTTTAAGATAAACTGGCTTAGTTCTTATCAAGTGGCTGGTGGTCATCTGGTTTTAAAAGCTGGTTTTTGGTTATAATCCAATTTTAAAACTAGTTTCTAATTAAAACCAGTTATAAATCCATTTTTCTTACAAAAATTCATTTTTAAAACTAATTTTAAATCAGTTTTGGACCATTTTTAAAATAATTTTTGGTTTTAAAACCAGTTTTGAGGTCAGTTTTGAATTAAATACCAGTTTTGGACCAAATTCAATTTTGTTCATAAACTGGTTTAATAATTGGTTTGATCAAAAGCCAAATTAATTTTGAAAAAATAAAGTGGTTTGGGTATCCAATCTGATTTGGTTTCAAAAATGAATTTAATTGGCATGACAAAATGATGTTAAACATGATTTCATTTGTTGTTATGATTAGATAAACATGTCTGTATGGAAGTTGTGCTAAACATCTATTGAGGGAATAGAAGGCAGAGTTGCATTATGGTTTGAGAGCCATGATAAAAACCTTGTTTTTATTCCTTTCCTTTCAGGTCTGATGTTTTGGGGCAGTTCATGCCTTTAGTTGGCAAAGATTGGACACAATCTGGAGTGGCAAGGCTTTTCTCTGCCATTAAGGTTTGCATATACATTTTTATTTGTACAAATCTGATATGTTCATTTAAATTGGAGTGGATTTTTATTGTGGAAAATTTTTAGTGAGGTAAATTGAAACAGATCTTCATGGGATAATTCTGTAAGAAAAATATTGTGCTGTGGATGTGTAATTATATTTTACATTCTTGTTGCTAGTTGTTCGTTATGTGTCTCTTATCATAGATGTATACATGATTATCAGATTATTGGTTTGAGTGTGTATAACTGATAGGGGGCTTTTATTAGAGACAAATAAAACAAAACTCAGTTAACAAGTAACTGCTATTTACCTCTTGTATTTTATTTAAGGATGAATTGAACCGTGTGTGGACTAGAAGTGCTTATTGCATCTGCAATGATTTAAGAGCACTCTTTGGTGAGGTTTGTTTAATAGATCTTATGCATATATATATATATATATATATATATATATATATATATATATAATGTGAACTCATAAATGTAAGAAGAATGTTAGCCACATACTCTCTAATGCAGTCTTACCAACACACACTTTACTATTGATTAAAATTTACTGAAAACTATAAAATTAGGAGAAACTCATTAAATGAGAAATGGTTCTTTTAAGATTTCCGTAAATTTTGCCAATAGTAGAGAGTATGTTCAAAATAATGTGTTAGAGAGTGTGTTGCTAACATTTCTCTAAATGTAAATGGATTTAGAAGGAACTAAACCCTGCTCCTTTGAGCTTGGGCTTGAGGTTGCTCAGCCAATGAGCCTGCAGCCTGGTCAAGTTGGCTTTTCTCAATCAACAAACATAATTGATATGATGGCCTGTGACTAGTGAGACATGGCTCTTTTGAAGCCATTTAAATGAGATGGTACAATGTCCATTGTCTGCTTTTATTAACATATATCATTGACTAATGACTGCTTTCTTTTACTTTTTTTCCCCTTGTTTCACTTTGCATTTCATCAATATCGTTAACCAGAATTTAAGATTACATACTATGAATGTTTAGTTTTTCTAAATTTGGTATTTACGATATTTAATTTCTTAGCAAGTGAGTTATAACCAGTAAGGTGAGGGTTGCCTCCCCCTTATATATACTCTTTGTTTGCCATATCTCTAATCAGTTAGAACTTGGATTTTTCTCAATACACTTCATGTCCAATACTATTAGACTTGGTATGTGAATAAATTATGGATGACTTTTTTTAATGATCACGGATAAGTGAGACTTGAGTTTTTCTCAATATATCCTCTCATACCCAATATTATTAGGCTTGATGCATGTATAAGTGATGAGTGACCCTTTTTAAAGTGAATTTATGATAAACTCTGATATCATAATAGAAAGTGGGTTATAGGCTTAACTCAACCTTACAAAACCGGTTTGTAAGGTGAAGGTTGCCTCCCACTTATATACTCTTTGTTTGTCATATCTCTAGTCAATGTGGGGCTTGAGTTTTTTTCAATACACCCCCTCACGTGTAATATTATTTGGCTTTGTATGTGAATAAATGGTGGGTAACTTTTTTTAATGATCAAGAATAGGTGAGACTTGAGTTTTTTCCTAATATAATTCTATTATCAGATTTCTTAATTTGTTTTCTATAAACAAATATTAAATGAAGTAAGTGTCCAAGACATACTCTTGGAGTAATCTTTACCTTAATTTATTATTATTACTATTATAATAATAATAATAATAATATTATTATTATTATTATTATTATTATTCAATTTAGGACTAGAATCCCTTACCTTAAAGGACAAGAAAATAGTAAGATAAATTGAATAAAACCTTATGTTGAAATTAACTTGTCCACCTCAACTTTTGGGAAACACTTCCATCTTCTTTAAAAGTTGAGGTCTATAAGTTAATTTTTAGCTTTATGGGAAAAAGTTTGATTCATTTTACCTTTGTATTATTTTTTTTTGTAAGTGTTTTTTGATATGTTTATCCAAAATTGCCCCAGGTTTCTCCTTATATTTCTTTCCTTTAGAAGGAAAATGCAAATAAATTTAATGATTATCGATGTTGTGTCACTATCTGTCGAATGTAAAATGCAGTCTAGCATGCGTGATTTTATGGTGATGCTTATTGTTACATTGATTTATGTCTCAAGAATATTAATGCCTAAATACTAGATCTGGATTTTATGTCAGGAAAATGGATACCAGCTACTTTTTCTGAGTGCCCGAGCAATTGTCCAGGCATATCTAACCAGAAACTTCTTGCTTAACCTGAAGCAGGTATTTAAATAACCTGGTTTTATGTGATCAATGACAATTTATTTCCGATATTAGAATTATTCTGTGCTTTTGGAGTATTTGTATCAAGGAATCAGCCTGAGTTTTTTTAATGTTAAGATTGTGTGGCATCAACTGCCTTAGTAGTCTTATGGAGGAGTATGAATCTTGATTTTATATCCACAAGACATTACTTTTCTTAACTCTGCATATTTGGCCACTTGATCAAGATATCATTTCCCGGTAGCCACAGGTAAAGGTGGCATTAAGGTACCATGGGGTTTAAAAACCTTGAAACAAGATGTGCTAAAAATTGCATGTTGGAAGGAAGGCATTAGCATTTGAAAAAGAAAAAAAGCAGTAAAATATTTGCCTATTTTACTTTAATTTTCTATATAGATTAGGTTAATCATGGGAAAGTAACTTTCATATTCAAATAAAACAGTAAAATCTTTTTTTTTTTTTTTGTGATATAGCAGGATAATAAGTTGGTAACAAGTTCTAGATGTTAAAGCTCATAATTGAAAAACATTTTCACCATTGTAACTTTTTACCTCCCTCTCCCTCACACAAAAATAACATTATAGTTAGCAAATTGCTGTCATAGATGGCTGGCTGTTTGGGTTTTTACACTTCTCATAATTTAAGATTGTTTACAATGAATATTTCATTGACGGCAAGCACCTGATCTGAGATTACCAGATAGATTGAGATAGAATTTCAAGAGGGGTTGACCCCTTCTAAGGCCTCGCCTCAGTACCAAATTCACCATTAACTACACTGTATCACTTATGATTTTGTTACATTTGTCCATGTCTGTGAGTGTGATAGGGAGAGGAAAGAAGCAGTAAAGATTTCTGTATTATGTTCTCTTTTATTTGTATATTTGTATTTTTTTGTCCTGAATAGCATTGCATCATTTTTGATAATGAAGTGATAACTGCAATAATACTTCAGCTACATAAATGTTGCGTTCTTTGCAGGATGGAAACACCTTACCAAATGGACCTGTTGTTATCTCACCTGATGGATTATTTCCCTCACTTTTCAGAGAAGGTGAGGCACTTCTAACCCGAGATTAGTTGCGATAGATACTGCAATGTTGTTTATGATTTGATGTCACTGACTTGTTATTTTCTGTTTGTACTGATGAAAGTGATAAGAAGGGCACCTCACGAGTTCAAGATTGCTTGTTTAGAGGTAACAACCAGAACTAAAAACCATGTCATTGTAATGTATAACAGGAAATGTTGTTGGAAGGCATCTTCTTGCCAACATTATAGTACATATGATCTAAAATTATTGTCTTGCAGGATATCAAGAGACTTTTCCCATCTGACTATAATCCATTCTACGCGGGATTTGGCAATAGAGATACAGATGAACTTAGTTACAGAAAGATCGGAATCCCGAAGGGAAAAATATTCATTATTAACCCTAAGGTGTGCATCCTGGATTCATAATTCTGACAATTAGTATTTTTCTAGTTTTTCCGAGACACACTAAATGAGTAAATGGCTATGGAAACTAACAGGGCGAAGTGGCTATTAGTCATCGAATTGGTGCAAAATCATATACATCGTTACATACCCTCGTCAATGACATGTTTCCTCCAACATCTTTGGTCGAGCAGGTGACAAATCATCTCCTAGCTCCCAGTTAGTACAATGGAAACTGAACTTCACAACCAACAAAATTGATTTTTATTTTCTGAAATATTGCAGGAGGACTTCAACTCATGGAATTATTGGAGAACGCCATTGCCAGATGTTGATTAGTTCATTGCTTATGACATTAAGTTCTTTTTGTCATGGATTGAGGTTGAAACCATTCAAGATGTTAGCCGAAAAGCCGGACATTCCTCCTATTTGATCCATTCACATGCCATAATTGATTGGAGAGTAGTGTCCTTCTGTACTGGTTTCATTGGTGGGCATGTAAGTTCTCCAAGAACATTATTTTTTGTGGTGATCATACCCTCTTTTGATCTGCATTAAATCCTGATTCATTAGAATTCACCCATCAACAGAATTGTACAACATTTGGCTTACATGTTATATTCTTGTATATTTTTCAATTTTCATTGGGGGTGATCAGGGAATAATGGCATAGATGCTTAACATTGCAACTTTTTCATATGCAACTTTAAGTCTCTAGTCTTAACCTGATATTGATGTTAATCTTTAGTTTGTCCATCATGCTTAGAAACTAGAAACGGTAGGAAACCAATCGGACCCTATTAGAGTGTGGAGCTAGAACTAGAACATGTATGCAACATGAAAGCCAAGGTAGTAAATTCTCTTGTTTGACTTGTTATACAATGGCTTGAATTGAATTGTAGATTGTGGAAAACTTATTGTTGCGCTCAATATATTGTAATCTCAGAATGGACTACTCAATTGGCTTAATGATTTGTTTGGCTTCAATTTTTTATATTTTTTTCCTCGACTCTTCTGCCCCTTTTTTCTTTTTAAATTGGGTTCTCCTCTTATTCTCTTGTTTTTTCTGGATTGATAGGAAATTTAATGAAGATTTACTCATTTTAACTTTCAGACTACTTTTGGCCCAACTTTTTTTTTTTTGAAGGGCATGAAAGCTACTGTAAAACTTAAAATAAGAGTAATAATCATCGTGAAGTTTATGGAGGATTGGAGGTGCGTTTTGCCGTATGCTCTTTATATCTCGTGAAGTTAATAATGAATAAGAAAATAGGTTTTGAATATTTTTTTTTGAATGATTATTCATTGAAAATGGCTAATGGTAATAACAACGACATAGGATGTTAGAGCAAGAACATTGTCACATTGCATGATAAATAAATAATAGCAAGCAAACATGCACGGTCAAAATCTAAATAGTTAAACATATAAGCGATTCTGAGATTTCAAACAAGTTAAATTTTTCTTCTCTTTTTTTTGATAGAGTATGGGTTATTTTACACTTGTTTTTTTTTCCCACACACGCTAATACAGAGTTACCTAAAGAAATACATATATGACTCTCACACACGAATAATAGAGAGTCGCCTGAAAAAACACTGGTAGTTTAGATACAATTGCCAGACAGAAGGGTGATATGGACAAAATAATTAGAAGAAAAAATTAAATTTTGTAATTTTTAGTTTTTAGATTTATAAAATTTACAATCAGTCCTATCACTAAATGTTCATCTGTTAACTTTTAAAATTATAATATTGATCATGATTTTACATTAATTATCTGACATAACAATTAATATTTAATATCTCTAGATTAAATTTTATTTTTAGTCTTTTTTTATTAATCTCTTTTAACCACTTTTATAAAATAAAGATGAGAACTAAAAGAACATTTAGCTTACATATTATTAAATGTAATTGTCATGATATTTACTTAATGTCATGTTGTTAATGTTACAATTTAATGATAAGCAAATGAATATTTAATTGAGGTCAAAATTAGAGACTAAAATTATAGAATTAAATATTAGAAAGTTAAAGTTGCAGATTGAATATTATAAGAAAATAAAAAGTGTAATTTAGTAAAAAAAAATATATGAAGGTGGTAGCTTGAAAAAAAACAAAGAGAGAAGAGAAAGGTGGAGTGAGGACTGTGACCGTAGGAGGAGGAAAAGGTGTGATGGTGAGGAAGGAACAAGAAAGGTGGAAAAGGAAAGAAAAAGGGTCACATCATGGAGAGCTCAACCCAACATGTAATCAAGGTTGAGTTGAGATCTTAAAATTTTTGCATGAAAAAATTAGGCATATTTGTCTTGTCTCAAAGAAATTGGTGAGCCAAATTGAACTTCTAAAATTAGGCTCAGCCTAATGAGCAACTTTTTTTGTTTAGTAAAAAGATGACAGATAACTCATTATTAAAAACGACTGCTATAAAAATAAAGTTGTTACAATTATTATAACAACTTTTCAAAATCAAATAAAATTAACCATAGACATTGCTTGTCCACTCAATCCATTCCATAGTTGAGTAGCAACATTATCCCAAAATGAGCTAGGGATTGACATATCCGCAGGATTAGAAATGTCTCTGGACATCCTTTGCCTCTTGATGCTCGGTTGTTGGCATTCCCCTCTGGTTTTTGCCATATCTACAAAGTAACTTAAAAATAAATAATATAAATAATAGCATGTAAATATATTCTGACCTAAAATAAATTTTGAAAGATATATTTTTTAAATGAAAAAGGTATATAATATTTTTTTTTGCAAATATATGAACACAAATTTTGTAATATATATGAGAACTTTTTGCCGATATATATGATCTTCTTATTTTATAAAAACTAATTAATTAATATTTTTTTTGTTGACGGACTTAAAGATTAAGATCTAGCAGTCTTCCTTTTAGACTGACGCCGAATATAATGTACAATGAATTAATAAAACACTTATTGTATATTAAGATTATCTAAATACACTTTGGTTATTTATTTATTATTTTTAAATTTAAGAAATTCACTTTAATATCTTAAAATGTCTTATCAAACTAAATTTATTATATTAATTTCTTTTATTATTAAGAAGTATTTAAATATGAGTTAGTTTTCTTTAACAACTTGATAAATATCAAATAGGTAAATATTTTTTTTAGAAATGTAAGCAGATTAGTTGAATCAAATTTGGATGAATTTGTTACATGATAAATTTAATGGGTTGAATTAGATTGTATATATATATTTTTAAATCTAATCCAATCATTAATGAGTCGAGTCAATTGTGTTAACATAATTAAATTTATTTATTTTTTACAAAAATTTAAATATGTCATGATAAATATAAATTATTTAATATTTTGTTACAAATACAATAATAAATAATAATACAAACTAAATTTGTTACATTACTTTAAACTCAAATAAGCAACATTAATATAAAATAAAATTTAAAATAAATATGTTGCATTGTTATAATGTTACCAACCAAAAACCATAATACTCCTTATTAACAAAAGTGACAAAGAGTATTGTTTTGAACAAGTGATCATACTAATTTATTATTATCATTATTATTATCATTATTATTATATGATCGAATTTGGTTAGGTCATGGGTCAAAAAACACAAATTTCGTTATCCGACTTGTATAATACCGAATTTTGATCGGATTAGATTGAATTTAACTTGAACACTAAAAAAATCTAATACAAGTTCATTGGATTAATTTGGGTCAATTTGAATTTACGGATTACACGTGTCTATTTATACCTTTATCCTTTTTCAACTTGAACTATTTGTATTAGTCTTGCAAGAATTAAGAATTAAACTCCAACTACTTAGTTAAATGATTTATCACACTATTTATGTCAACCTAAAATAATATTTATTACACTAATTTAATTGATAAGATGAGAAATTAGGATGAGATGTCAAATAAATATTTATTGTACCATACAATATATTTTAGAATTGAAATTATAAATGGTTTGAAATACTTTTTATACATTAAAATTATAAATATATATTTTTTTAAAATTAGTGTTAAAAATACTATAATTACAAAATATAAATGTAAATAAAGGCGTGGGAGCTGCTAGATATAATGAAAGGCAAGAAGTAAGAAGAAAAATGAATTTGGACAAAACACTACGCGAAACGGAAGGCAGAGGAATCGAGCTTCATGCCAACGTTGAGCTGAGCACTTGACTTCTTCTTCCTTTCGCCATTGCATTGCATAATCTCTCACACGTGCCACAAAAACTACCATTCTTTTCTTCACCATAAAAAAAACAGAGACACACACACATACACTTTCTTTTCCCTTTTTCATTTTCCTTAACAGGCAGAGAGAAACAGAGCAAGAGAATATATACATAAGCCTAAAAAAGAATGTCATGGGTGAGATCGGCGGTAAACAGAGCGGTGGAAGGCGGCCCAACCAATCTCCGACGCGCCGTTCGCACCTACACAGACTCCGTCGTGCTCCATGCAAGCAACGCCGTCGTCGGTGGCGCCAGAATCATCCACGACCGCATTGTAACAACGCTCCACCCTACCCCTTTTTATTAAAACTTTCATTTTTCGTTTACCCTTTTCGTTTTTAATTCTGGATTCGGGACAAAGTTTTCACCTTCGCTATGCTACCTTGCAGTGTAAGAAATCTCTAGGTTGGGCCTTCAAGCGTCATGTTTTGGACTTTTTATTATAAATTATAAATTATACATGCACTCATCTAAACAAAAATCAAATCACTAATCAGTTATTGCTGTGTACGATAAATTTATGGATGTTTATAACAACTATCTTAAAAGTTAAAGTCAAAACTAGGGATCCTTTCTGATTTGTTGAAAGTTTAGTGTCTAAACAACTATTAGAGTCAGCTTAGTGATGAAAGTTTGAGGTAATATTGCACAAGGCTCTAAATATTGCACAGGGTTTTTAGTTCAAACTTTGTTGTCATGTCAGTGTAATTTCTATGGATAAAAAAAATGCGGTGTCTAAAATGTGAAGGGTTTTATTGAACAGGCGTCTCGGAACATGCAAAGTTTTAGGCACACTGTAAAACGATTGGAAGAACTTTCTGTTTCTTGTAGAGGGATAGAGAGAGTTCAGTTGCTAAGAAGGTGGCTGGTTGCGCTTAAAGAAGTTGAGAGACTCACTGCTACCTTCACTGACACCAATGCAAAATATTCAGAGCCAGACAACCAGTTTCTTTATGATGAATTCAAAGATTCACCTATACAACAACCCACTTTGGTTTGTGAAACCCATGCCGTTTTCCATCATTTCTGTTTATCTTATTTTTTCCTTTCACATTTGGTCTCACGCCCTCACTATGTTAATCTAGCTTGCTTCTTTGCTTTCACATCTGTTTTTCACAATTGTAACTTTTGTTATGTATCTATTATTTTCTTTTTAGTAATTTATGCTCATAGTTTATAACTATGGACAGATTTACTATGTAGACCCTGGTGTTGAGGGTGAGCCAAAAAATTTCCGCGATGTCTTTCTTTCCAGTCAAGCTCTTGAGGGCATAACTCTCTCAATGGTAAGTTGAAGCAATGCTATATATAACTGCCTGCCACAGTGCAAAGTTTTTGAATTATTATTAGTCTATTAGATGAGTGTAGCAGTGTCAAATTTTCTCTAGAGGATTTCCATGTTCCAACGGTTAGGTTTGATTTGACGCTATATGCTTGTAGGAATTTGCAATCAAATTAAGAGCCAGCTGGTACTTCCCAAATGAAAATGAAAATATATCCTTAATCTTTAATCTGCTTGTTTTTTTATTGCGGGAAAATTTTTTACTGAGTCGTGACTTGTGATACAATTCTTTACATATTGTCTATTTTCAGTGATATTCTATATACAGAGGCTGAGCTTTATATTTGCTGATTTATGGAACTTAACCGCAGGTTACCTCTTTTGTGTGACTCAGATTCTTGATGCACCAAATGAGGAAGAAGTTTCAATACTTTCGGAGATATATGGGTAATATAGTCTTTCTGTTTTTAAAATTTCTTTTCTTGCACTGATATATCTGCAGCCAAATATTTGATTGAACACAGTAGCTGGTTGGCATATTATAAATATCCTACTTAAAAAACTGCTTCTGGTTTGGTATGGTTATACTTATGCAGGCTTTGTATTAAAGGAGGAAAGGAAGAACATACTGCCTTGTTATCCAGTGTACAGGATTTGGCAAAAGCATTTTCTGGATATGAAGATGAAGTGCTGGTAATGATGTTAGAATTGGTATTTTCTTGTAGATTTATTTGTTTATGGTTGATGCATACCTACAAACTTAATATTGTGACTTTTGAAGGATGTCTATGATTATTCATTAATCGTTATCAGTTATACATCAGACCAAATGTGACTGTAGAAAATCTTTGCTTGGGTATGTCATGATCACAATATCTGTTAATTGATGTGAAGCTCAGATACTTGGGGTTTTAGGTATAGAGGAAGAGTTTGAAAAGATAATAAAACACTAATTGGTATCCAGAGATGTATTGATGTGTTCATAAAACTTGGGGTACTAACCCTTATTTATACTAATAATGATGAAATAAGGAAATGTGGCAACCAATCCCACACTCAATCAGTTCCTACACACAGCTCTGAGGAACATTTCTTCAGCTTTTGACAAGCAAATACACTCTTACAAAATCTTGTTTAAGTACACATTTCAGCTTTTGTTGTCCTAATTATCCACATCTGAAGGATTTCTTTTAATTGGTAAATCAGATTTAAAGAGTTTAGTAAATGCTTGCACCCTTTATAGTAAACCCCAAAATACAAGTAGTAACTTGATTCCCCTGCATTGATTTTGGTAAAGTTCTGCCCCTGACCTCAACCTTGCCATAACATGCAAAACGAATACTGTTCCTTTCTGTTTTATTTCCAAAAAGGTTACTAGTGTGATTTTATAAAAGGTTACTTTAAATGTTATATTCCTATCTGTTTTTTTTATTCTAACATAACATCTAGTCAATTTTCTTGCCTGAAGTTGTCTTCTGTCTTATCTTGATTTATTTTGCAATTTGTGCTCTATCCAGTATCCACAACCTCTGCCTTTGTAACAGAATTGAATTTTTTTACACATTTTAGAAGAATTCTACTGGAGTTATATGTGCTTATTTGGAACCTACATATCTTTCCCTTTTTGCATTACTTTTTTAACAGGCAAAGCGAGAAGAGTTGCTTCAATATGTCCAAAGTGCAATTTCAGGGCTGAAAATAAATGCTGATCTTATGAGGTTGCAAAATGTATCTTTATCGATTCTTGTTTGACCTTGAGATTTGGTGTTGTTTATTAGCAGATATCTTATTTGAACTTGGTGATGTATGTTTGGGTTATGGTGTACCAGTACTTACAACCATTGTTCCCCTTTGCATGCAGGGTTATAGAATGTGTTTTTTATAACTGCTTGTTCTGTTCATGTTTGATCAATTGGAGCATCACTTATTATTTTTAATGCACTAATAATAGAGTTTACTATGATGTATTTGGTTTCACTGTGTCAGAGGTACACTGTTTACTTGTTATAAATAGCACATTTAAGGCTCCTCATTCTTTTATTTACATAATTATTATCCATTTACCTTCATAAATAAACAACTAACCTGTATTCCTTGAATATATTTTGTTATTTAATATTTAATTGAGCATTTACAGAAATCTAAATTCTGGAATAAATCATTTGTTTCTTGATCCATAATGCTTGACACCATTTTTATGACCAGTTTTATTATTCTTTTCTCCTCGTGTATGTGATACACTCTCGTTTCTCAGAATAGAAGTTGAAGCATGCAATCTGAAGGAAAAAATTGAGAATATGAAGGCAATCAACCAAGATAGAAATTTTGTAAAATCACCTAAGGAGACAACTGCTGTAGCAATAGAGGTGAGCTTGCATTTCTTATATCCTGAGGGTACAATGGCACAGCTGCATGCCCATCGACTTGCACATGAACACTCATATTGTTGTTGTGTATATGGTGTAATATGGTGGTGGTGGAACATGAGAATATTTTATATTAGCAATTTTCTAGGTTGATCTATCATAGACTTAAGTTTTCCTAATAATATTTGAGTTTCACCAAAGACATAATTCTGCATATTGAATTCTTTTGAACAAAGTCTTCTTGTCACATGATGTATCGTAAATATGTTTTTCATCCTTAATAACCTGGATAAAAGTTTCTATTTCTGTATGTGTAGTTTATTTTAATGTGAACTTAGCTTTCCACCTTAATCTTTTTGCTGTCTTATTACACATATTAAATTCTGTGCTTGTTCTCTTGTTACCGTTGTTATTCCTTCAATATGCATGAAAATTTAGGGATACGTGTGTATTCAAGCATTGCTAGATTCTTTTTCTAGGAAGGCAGAGTATATGTCTGTTCAACCTTCAAATAAACTAGTACGAGTCTATCTGTGTGCAAATGCATGTCTAACAGGATAGTCTTGTCCTACTTTGCTTTTAGTTTACACCTGCTGTTTACTTTTTTCAAGTTGTTTCCATGCAATCCTTGATTACAGAGAAATCTTTGCATAATAATAAGAATTCAAATATAATAAAGAGAAGGTTTTATCACATGCATGCACACAAAAATGACTGTTAGGTTGAACTATGTGTGATTTCAATCCCTTTTGGTCACTTTAGGTTGAACTATGTGTGATTTCAATCCCCTAAGTTTGTTTTGAGCAAATTAAGTTTTGAGTTTTAACATTAAAACTAAATTGGTCCTCCTTGCAAATTTCTTTTACATAAAACCCTCAAAATTCTCATCTTCTACTCAAAATCTTCACAAATTGCATTGATTAAATTGTTTTAAACCTTCTTCACAAAACTCACAAATCAAAACATCAAATTTCACCTAAAAAAAGAGGCTAAAATTTACCCCTTTTAAATTCTAATCTCATTCTATAAATTCCTTCAAATTTTATCAATGTTTCACTAAATTTTACTTCTAAGCTTTTAAAATTATTTCATTTCCCAAATCTATCATAAACCCCCAAATATGGATAGAACATCAGAATTTGAGGATTTTAGAAAGAAGTAAATTGATTGATGGGACTAAATTTGCTTGATTGCAGAAAATAGGTGTCAGAAACAGTTATTATGAGTTGATTATAAATAAATATAAAAAATTGTTGGCTAAAAAACTAAGGGGAACAAAATTGTACATAATTTAAACCAAAGGGACTAAAAGTGAAATTAATTTTTTTTTTTATTACAAGATTACTTTTTCTTTCTAGTGATGCCATCGATAACTATTAAACCTTTGATCTTTCCTTATTTATCAACCTAACAGCTTGTGTTTCTTATATTAATGCCTTATAACTACACATGAGCTTCATATATGGTTTATGATGATATTTTACGCACCTTTTTATAGATTCAAGATTGTGCATTTATTTGTAATTTTATATGTTAGTGGAAATCGAGTATTTTGGGTTAATTTCAGGCTCTTGATGAGGCTATGGTAAAAATTCAAACGTGTTCTAAGTTGGAGGAACTCTTACTGAAAAAGAAATACTTTAGCTATGGTGATTCTCCACAACTTCATTCTGAAAAGGTCTTGCACAGTTTGTTAATTTCTTTTACTCCCGAAGCATCATACCTTTGCAGTTATTATTTCTCCAAGATTCATTGAAAAGAATGTATAGATTATAGAACATTCAAAATTGATATTTTATTGTGTGAAATTGTTCATTCTATTCATTAAACAAGTGGCTTTGAAATCCAATGGTGGTTTGTTGCAGCAATTATGAATTTTGACCCTAGGCAAACTTCACCTACAATATTAGGGGTCTGAATCTTATAATCATGACTCTGATGAGGGCTTTACCTGACCACTACCCTTGGGTTGGGATGAGGAATTAATCATACACCTGTGCCTTAGGATATCTAGTCAAAGACTGAAAAATGGGCTTACAGGGGCACATTGCATTGGTGCAGTGCTTTTGAATTCCCATATCCAGGCCTATTTGCCTGTGTGAGTTTATTTGTCAACATTTGTACACGTGATAATTCTTCTGTATCATGCTTGTCTAAGATCTATTACTTTAATTCAGAAATGTCCATAATACATAAATTTAATTTTTTATCAATTCTTTACTATAAGCTTTGAGAATTTAAAGATCTAAATACATTAATGTTTTCTGCATTATGTATTGTAGTGTTCATTATTAATTCTCAACAGCTTCTGCAAGTAAGCATAATATTTTTAATCCTGGTGCAGTGATGCTTAGTTTCCTGCATTTTGTGTTATAATCTTTTGTTGTTGTTGATGTATGATTGAATCACTTCCAGGTTGAAAAATTGAAAATTTTATCAGAGTCTCTTGCGAATTCTACCACAAAAGCTGAGAATCGCATTTCAGAAAACAGGTGCCAGAAACAGTTATTATGAGTTTATTATAAATAAATAAATAAAAACAGTTTCTTTTGTGTATGTGTTGTGCTTGCACATACACTTGTGGGTAGCATGCAAAGGTACTGAACATATTTTCAGCTCTTTTTGATGCATATGGCTTTTGTAACTGTATAACATGTTGATACTTGATGCATGTCATGCGCTGTTTGGCTAGTTGAAAGTTGATACCAAACAGATCACAAATTATGACCTTGACTGATTTTTTCGAGATTATTTTCTCTTAAATTCTGTTACATACTTTGTTCTCAACCAGATCTCATAAAGAAGAAGCACTTCATTTTCGTACAACTAAAGCTAAGGAGGTTAGCCAAGTTGAGAAGGTACATTTTCTTCAAAAGCAGCCGATAGTTTTATCTCATTGTAGATATAGTTAAGAGTACATAAAAGCTCCCACTGAAGGAGCTGGTCAAGTCACCTAAATAGTATTGAGTCCTCTAAATAGATTTCTTCCTTTGACAATGAGGATTGGCTGTTAAGGTTTAACAGTGCTGCCAGAAAAATCTTGAATTCAATCCTAATATTGAACAATGCTGACAAAAATAAATAAATCTTGAATTCAATTCCTGTTGTTAGTCATTTGTTGGTAGGTTATATGTAAATGTCATGAGAAATCCTCCCAAAGACTTGTGACATGCCCTTATCTTGGAATGGGACAATTTTCTCTCCCTTTAGGTTTTATCAATATAAAAAAAAAGGATATCTTCTTTTTTTGTGGGGAAGGAAGGGGAAGGTGCATCTTTGTTTTCTTCTCTATGCATTAGATGTTGCAAATAAGCAATGCCTTAGTTTTAAATAGGGGTGTTTAAAAATGTTGAATTGGACTGAACTAGACTAAACTAGAACAATAGTTCATCCGAACCAAACTGAACTGAAAAACAGTTAGGGTGAACTGAATTGAATTATTTTCTCAAATTTATATCGAACTGTATTTTGAATCAAATTAAACTATTTGAAATGAACTAAAAATATTTATTTGTAACAATGAACATAAGAAAAATTAAAAGTAGCAGATTTTTTATGAAAATAATTGAGTTTTTTTATGAAATAGTTCAGATTTTATATTTTAGTTCAATTCACAGTTAGTTTAGTTCAGTTTGTTTTTTTTTAACACCCCTATTTTTAAAGGTGAAAGGAATTATATCAGTGGGATAAAATAAAACCCACAACACACGCACACCAGAAGATGAGAGGGAGAGAAAGAGAACGAATTGCTCCACACACTTCACGCGAGAGGAAATAGTGGAAGAAGATTGCACTTTAGATTACTCAAATTTCATTCACTAACATCCAGTATTACAACTATATGTTGCATATCAACCTTTTACATGCAAAACATCATAATAAAATAATAAAACTTAAATGCTAAGGTAAAAACTAAGTTTAATGCCTAAGAAAAGAAAATGATGGTGCTTCCATTTTCTCTAATTTATGACGCCACAAATTAGGGTGTCCATCCTTGCAACCAGCTTTTAGTATTTCTGTTATGCCCAGCAGCTTTTGACATTTCAAATTAGTATCTATTTAGATATAAGTTTAGAAGTATTTTTGAGAATTTCTTTACAGAAAATAATTTTTATTTTCAGTAAAGAAGCTCTGAAAAGCGCTTTTAATTTGTATCCAGACAAGCTCTAAATAGAAGTATAATATATAAGAGGTGACAATCAAAGCTTGATTTAATTTATGACAAGGAAGATTAAGAAATTGTACGTGTTACTATATAACGGTGGTATTCGATAGACAGGACTATGTTATGAATCAGTACTAAACTATGGTGTGTTTTATAGCACGGTACAAACAGAACAGCATAGTACGTTGTAGCATTACTTTTTATTCTGTTTAATGTTCGGTAGTTGATGCACAACACAAGGAATTTTGGAGGTGGAGGGGGTTGCAACCAGTACAAGCCTGATTGAGCTTATTGGATGTTTTCTTTGGGTTGGTAAGGTTTAGTCAAATTGATTGGTATATTTTCACTTTTGGGTGGGGCTGTGCTCGGAACAGAAAGATGAATTTTTGACTAAAATATTATTTTTTTTAAAAAAATACCTAAATAACACCTGTACCAATTTATTTACCCAAGTAGACCTGTTTACTGTTCATGTTCAGAATTCGGTTCCCGAGAACCGAATTTTGAGTAGCGTTTTATATATATATATATATATATATATTTTTTTTTTTTTGCGTTTTTGGGTTTAGGGCATGTGTAAATTCTGCATCTGGAACGGCCCGTTCTTAAACCAGAACGGGCCGTTCTAGAGTTCTGTTTTAACACAACCTGAATTTTGGAAAACAGAACTCTAAAATGGCCCGTTCTGATTTAAGAACGGGCCGTTCCAGATGCAGAACAGGTCGTTCCAGATGCAGAACAGGTCCCAGGAACCGAATTTTGAGCATAAACAGTAAAAGGGTCTACTTGGGTAAATAAAATGGTACAGGTGTTATTTAAGTATTTTTAAAAAAAAAATAATATTTCAGTCAAAAACTCGGAGAAAGATGTCCTCTAGTTTATTGAGTAGCAAATGTTTAGAATTTTGTCTTTTACTTCATCTTTTATTTTTTTCAGTCCCATGATCAATTTCAAAATTAAACGTGGTACAGATATTTTAAACACAGATTTAATTCTATAATTTTCATATTGACCATGTGAAACCAACTCATTTATTTTCTAGATAGGGAAAATATTTTCAGTACTTTTGGAGTATGTATTATTGTCTTCTATTAAAATCAAGACACCTGGCATCTATTTTTTTTTCCTATTTTAATTTTTTAAAAATAAAAATAAGAAAAGACTGTCAAAAGAGTAGATGCTACAAGAGGACTGAAAATTTTCTTTAAGATAGGAATCTATAAAATATTCATTACCCACAAACAAATCACACAATTATATGCATCGTTTGTATAAAACTTGCTCAGCACAAATTTATTTTTTCTGTAATAAATTTATTTCATAATATTTGAAATACAAATTAAGAAAGCCAATCTCTCTTTTCACTGGATTGCTCACATTATTAATTAATGTTTGAAAATTTTCAATCCTAATAAGAGAGAAAAAGAGTATCTCATTAATTTCCAACATTTATTATTTTTTACTTAAAAAAGTTGTTAATTAATTGAGGATATTTTAGGGAAAAAATAAGTAATACAAGAGACAATTGGAAAAAAAATCTTACAGAAAGAGACAAACAATAAAGTAAAAAGGACTTATATATAGGGACAAAGGTAGTAAATTTTAGCCTGTGTTTGGTTTCACGTTTGAAACGTGAAAAATCACGTTTAACGTGGAAGCTACAATGTGTAGCTTCCACGTTAAACGTGATTTTTCACGTTTCAAACGTGAAACCAAACACAGGCTAAAATTTACTACCTTTGTCCCTATATATAAGTCCTTTTTACTTTATTGTTTGTCTCTTTCTGTAAGATTTTTTTTCCAATTGTCTCTTGTATTACTTATTTTTTCCCTAAAATATCCTCAATTAATTAACAACTTTTTTAAGTAAAAAATAATAAATGTTGGAAATTAATGAGATACTCTTTTTCTCTCTTATTAGGATTGAAAATTTTCAAACATTAATTAATAATGTGAGCAATCCAGTGAAAAGAGAGATGATTAATTTCAAAAATATTAAAGGGTAATTTTGGAAAAATAGTTCAAATTATTAACACATTTAATGCCACTAATTAAATTACTAACTTTCTTAAAGAGTGTAAATTATTTTAAATTATCTTATATACAAGGAGGAAGGTATTCTCTGAGTCTTAAGTCATGTCCATGTGCTACATAAATAGTTGTTTAATCAATGCACAATTTTTCCATTATCTAACAATTTAGTTGTATGTGCTTGAAGGATGATGTGTCGAAAGAAATAAATAGTTTAGCTTGAAGGAATCCATTTACTTCCGAGTCATACATGTTTTTGAAATAGATATACAATGACTGGACTGCATTTTTCAGGAATTAGCCGAGGAGATTGGAGAACTTGAGGAGCAGAAAAATGATCTTGAAGACAGACTGAGAAAGGTTTTTTTATTTTTTTTTATTTTTTACTTACTTTTCTTTTCTTTCAGATTCCTTTTGACATTTAATTGAACTCAGGAATTACATCCTTTCTATTTTGTTGCATTTGCTTGATGACCATATCATGCTTACTGTTTATGTGTGTGTATACATGATTCTACTTATCAGCGATCAGTGCCCTCCTATCTTCAGTCTTCAGTGTGACATTCATGGATCTGTCGGTGTTATCCTTTGCTTGAGTTATATAAGCGTAAAATATTCTTGCAGGTCAACACGTTGTTAACATCTGCACGTGTACGCCTCCACAATGCAAGAGAAGAAAGAGATCAGTTTGGTGAAGCAAGCAATGAAATTGTAGCACTTTTAAAAACAAAGGTACAAAAGTTTATTTCATGTTTTAGGGTCACATCTTCATGAAAAAAAATCTCATTTAGAATTAGAGAATTAGAGGGCTATATTAAAATTAAGGATTAAATATGTTTTTAGTATATGAAGAACTTTTGTCAATTTTTGTTTAGTTCCAGAACAAATTTTATTTGGTTTTAATCTCTAAAATTTTTTCCATGAAGAAAAATTTTTTGACGTCAAGGACCAAAATGTTAACAAGAGAAAAAGTTCAAAAAATAAAAGTAAAAGTGGACAAAAATTTAGGGACTAAAATTAGTAAAAAAAATTGTCTAGGGAATTAAAACAAAAGTTGACAAAATTTTAGGAACTGAAAAAAAAATTAATCCTAAAATTAATAATATGATGTGGACCATTTTATTATTTGTCGCATTCTGTCATGAAGTTTTCTGATATTAGGAAGATGAGATGGTGCGGGCCATTACTTCTTATACAGTGGAAGCTAATGTTGTTGGTAAATGGATCAAATTTCTAGAGAGCACATGTGTCTTCCAAACTTCACATACAAAGAGCAAGGAGGAGCAGGTCAAGTATGTACTGTAGTTTAAAACTAATGAGCAAACAAATATGATCATATAAATCTTGAAATATTACAAATTTAAAAGTTATTATGCGAATCAAACATGGTAGTTCCTTTTATGTGCCTTAAAGTCCATTTTTCATTTATTAAAATTCATATTATATATTTTTTTATTACACATAAAAGTGCCGAGCTGGAGAGATGTGGAGATCGTTTTGTGAATTTGGTGGTTCATCTTCTGTATTCGTACAAGGTAACAAATCATCCTTGATTGATTGATATCTTTATTGTTTTATTAAATATGTACACTGCATTTTCCGTATCTTCTCAGCACTGACTTGCTTATATGTTAGGAAAATTTGGGTTTATCTGTTATTCAAATAAGAGTACTTGTGGAAAATTTAAGATCCAGTCCAGGGTATGGAGTGCTGCCTCTATGAATTGTCTATTATGTAAAAACCATGCCTCCAACTGATGATTTATATCAGGTTAGCAATATCATCGGCAGTAGATATTGAAGGTTCGAAAGTAACAAATCCAAGGAGAAAGCTTGAAGAAGAATATTTAGATATTGAATCCAAGGTATTTTCTTTTCAATGTTTAACTTATTACGTGAAGCGAAAATCTGTCGTGTCTCTCACAGAAGTAAGAATTTTATAAATGAGATGGCATAACTTGGTGAAATTCAATAAGATTATGTGGTCTTATGCAAACTTATTCTACCTTTTAGTTTTTTGCCACTCTGAATATAGTGGACACCATGAAGAAGCAGTTTCACATTCAAAAGGAAGGCATTTTTAGGTATGTTGTTTCTTCCATGGCCCCCTCTATCTATCCTTGTCTTTTTTTTATTTTTTATTTTTTTATTGTTATCATACAAGTGCTACTTCCCTATAAATCTACAATTTTGATACAGAAAAGACAACGACAAGGTCACAGAACTATTTGATGCCATTGAGAAAATAAAAGACGAATTTGAATCTATTGAGAGGCCACAACTAGAACTTGAGATTCCAACTGATAGGTCAGAAACACCACCAAGTAAAATAACCTCCAGAATTCCTTCACCTCCCTCAACGGCTAATAAATACAAGCAAGATGGAGTCATCAACTCTCCCTCTATGACTGCAAGATCACAAATAGAAATAGAACTTGATAAATTAAGCGATGACTCAGAAGAAGAGATAAGTGAATGGGAGTTTGATGCTCTTGACAAAGATCGTCTCAACAGGAGTTGAATAACAAGAATATAGACCAAAATCACTGATGTTGTAAAAAGAATGATATCAAAAGGCATCACTGTTCAGTGTCTTGGGAAGACTGTGATTTTGGCTTACTCCATTACTCAGATAACTAAGTTGTTCACTCAACGGATGTACATGAAACAGCTTTGGTCCAGATAGTTGTATTTGTACCATATTCATCGTTGATGAAATGTAGATAGATATATTTAACCATGTAACTTTCCTAGATAAGCCTTGTTTGTGTAACATTTTTGTCAGTGAGAAAATTCTTTTTTATTATCATTTAGAAATGTTGACATAATAGACTAGTAACAAGCTGTTTTGTACCTGGCATGGTATTGAGGATTTGGGGTCATGTACAATACAAATATACGGCTCCAATTACCTGCATTTATGATTATTGACCACGTTTATAAATTCGGGCTAGCCATTTGAATTGATAGTATTATGATTCATTGTTCTAATAAAATCAGTGAGAAAAAATTGTATTTTTGAGATTCAATACATCATTATATCTTTGAACTTTCTTGTGAAATTTTAATTAGGTTCTTAAACTAAGAAGCAAATTGTAATTAAATTTTTTTATCTTCTACAATTTTTATAATTAAGTTCTTGCAGTTAGTTTATGACGATTTAAAATGGTCAGAAAAATAACAATTTGCGGTGATTTTATTAACTTTAAATACTTCAATACAAAAACTATAAGAGATAAAGGATTTAATCACATTTTTTTAGTTTGAGAATTTAATTAAATTTTTTTCAAAAGTCTTATAAACTTACAAATGTGTTGAACCTATTTTTAATTTTATGTGAAATACCAACTATTAAACTAATATACTATATATATATATACCATTCTGGACGGGAGCCTTATATGCTATTAACATCATTATAAAACTCATATCATTAAGTATAATTATAATTAAGATTTCACGACCGAGCTTTTCCGCACCCTTAGCGTATTTTCTCAGGTCCTGTTACTTTCTTAATCATAGCTATATTAATAATAAGAATTCTAATTCTGATACTAATAGTAGAGCAAAGTATTCTCTCATGGAAGGAAGTCTAAGACATAATTACAAGAATAGAGTTTTCAGGAAAGAGAGAAGTGTTTAGAAACTCATGATAATATAAAACAGAAGTTTTATTTAGGGTTGAGGTTCTCTGCCTCTCAACATTTCACAAGTCTTGCTTATATAGAGGAGCCGAGCTACCGAACTTGAAATCCTCATGAAGCAAGTTTAAGACCATTATCGTCATGTCTGACGTCATTACAAACTAGTACAATGACTCATGCCTATAGTACAATGATTCACACCTAATGACTCACCACTGTCTTGTACTTAAAGATGTTAAGTCACATCTGTCAACACAAAACGATAAATACACACAACTGGCTAAAGATGTTAGATCACATCTGCCGACACAAAACGATGAAATAATACTAATACATATCCGAGTACATTATGCTTTTGTTAGGATAAGATTCTTTCAGTCTCCTCGTGCTTTGATGGTCATAAATTCCCATCAATCAGTTCTTGAAGATAGGTTCATGACTTGGAGATAAGTTTGGATCTGAATAACTGGAATCCGAGGCTGAGTTGTAAACTCGAAATAAGGTTGGACTGTCAGGATGATTTGTATTATCCTCATGCATAAGAATTTGTCTACGTGTATCAACACTTTCAAAAATGAATTGTTCGGCTGGAGCTGTGTTGACTGGTGAACAAACCTTTTCAGCAACACTGTAATAATGTGTATCTGGCTCAGGAGGACAAATGATATCCAATGGTTTTAAATTGGCACATGTAGAACTTCTGTTAATGACTTCAGCAAAAGTTCCATTTAGCATGTAGAGTTCAATGATCAATTCACTTTGATAAAAGGGTGGTTGATCTTCTTGAGTAAACATTTGCAGATTTGGATACGTAGACCATATTTGAACTTGGTTTTGTGTCCATAATAATTTTGTTTTTGGATGTTTAAAATATGGACGATGAATAATGGCAACGGTAACCATTTTCTCCAAGTTCCATTGACTAGGATCATGATGTTGTCGGATCCTTCTTTTTTTAGCTTCAAGGTCTTCAATCCATTTTTGTATGGGTTCATACCAGGACAGAAATTCCCATAGTATTGAACCTTCATTTTCTGTGTTCTGCAGAAAATTAATCATTTCCTGAGTAGGAAAAATTAATGGATATTGATGGAGTAAAGAGACACTCCATAAATACCACATGTCATCCTCAAGAAATGTTTTTCCCAGTAAAATGCCAAAGATGTTTAAAAAGGGTGTGTCTAGATTAAACCAGTTTGGCTTGGGTGGAATATGTTGTTTGTGCAAGGAGGCTGCTAAATAAGAAAGCATGTGTTGTCTGGCAAAATTTTGTAGGGTTGCAGGAGAAACATGATAGTCTGGTGTGATTTCTGGAGGACATTATTTTTTTCCAAGAATTAGGTTGAGAGGATGAGGATGATGGCTCATTCATTAAGATCATTGGATAAGTATAATTAGAAGATATTATACTTATATGATGTTGTTCAGGATTTCTTGGTCTAGAGAGGTAGTATGGAATAAAATTGTCTTTTACTTTGATATGTTTGACTGTAAAATCATACCTAGAAAACCATTCTTTTAGCCTGAGTATTTGTGCATTGGGAGGAACTTTGTTTTTGAATTCTAACATTCGTGGGAATGCAGAATTATCCAGTTGGATTTCAAACTGATGTCCTCTGAGATGGAAATCAAATTTTTGAATTCCATGTTTGATTGCTAGGGTTTCTTTAAAGATGGTGTGGTAGTGAAGTTCTGAATCTTTAAACTTTCCACTAGCAAATCCACAGAAAAATTGTTGTCCTTGGACTTCTTCAATCAAAATTGCACCCCAATAATGATCACTTGCATCTGTTTGCAAAATTCTTTTCCCTTCGCCTGGAATTTTTAGTGGAGGAGGATTTTGAGCAATCTTCTTTAGAGTTTTTACTGCTTCTGTTTGGGCTGATCCCCATGGAGGGGGATTCTTTTTCAGTAGCTTTGATAATTGTGAAATGTGAGGAGCAATGTTGGGAATAAAGTGTCTGACATAATTAATAATCCCTAAAAACTGTTGAACTTCTTTGACGGTCATATCTTTTTTTGGAAATTCTGGGAGTCTCTCTACAATGTGAGGTTGAGGGACGTATTTGCCATAGGCAAAATGCATACCAAGAAAGTTGACCTCTTTGACTCCAGTTTCATATTTCTTTGACGAAAGCATTACTCCATACTGATTACAGATTTGATGAAACTGTTGTAGGAGAGAATAGTAGTATGTCAATCAATGTAGATCAAAGCACTATGCAGGATAGGTTCAAATATTCACACCATAGTCTTCTGAAACAATGAAGGAGCAACTTTCAGACCAAATGGAAGGACTGTCCATTGGTAATGAGCATTTGGAATACAGAAGGTTGTTTTTGGTCGATCTTTAGGATCTAAGCCAATCTGCCAAAATCCAGATTTGAGATCGAATTTTGAGAAGTAGTATGCATCTTTTATGTAGGCATGAAGTGAATATATCTTCCGAAGAGGAAACTTATCATCCTTTAGAAACATGTTCAAAGGTCTATAGTCAATGACGAGTCTCTTCTTATTTCGGGCTTGTTCAGCTCTTTTATTCACATAAAATGTCGCACATGCCCAGCTTGAGTTAGTGGGCTCAATGAGTCCTTGTTCCAACAACTGTTGACATTCTTCTTTGACTGCCTGATATTCACTTGGTGACATTCCAGGATGGCTAGCTTTGGTTGGATTGATATCTTCATTCATCTTGAAAGGAAGTTGAACAAAGAATTCTCTTTTTGTCCACAAAGGTTGTGGATGTTTGAAGAGATCATGACTGTTAGCACAAATTTTTTTGAGCTGATCTCCAATATCTTCAAATCCTGGAGGGAGTTCTGCTAATGAGAACATATTTGAGTTCTTGCAGAAAGGCTTGAATTCTCTTTTGTATTTTAGTCCATGAGCTAAGAATTTGTAACTTGGTGCTTTGGACTAAAAGATCTCTGCCAATGAGAATATCCTTTCCATGAAGACTATCTCCAATTACATTCATCCAAATGGTGCAGTCTGGGAAAATCTTAATTCCAATTTTTGAGGATGTAATTAGATCTGTTTGATAAGTCTTACCATCTGCAGCTATGAATTTATGAACCTGAGTTGTCCATAAATTTGATGGTAGTATTGCAGGATTGAGCATTGTTCTAGATGCACTAGTGTCAATGAATGCAATAACTTTGATAGGCACATCATACTTTGTTGGCAAGATGAATGCTTCAACATTTGGTAATAACAGAATTTCTTTTTCCTTTTGAAAACATACCTCTTCTATTTTTAATATGGGAAAATGATTGCACTCATCATCAATGTAGTCAGATTATTCTAAGGAGCCATCAGTATCTCCTTCTGAATGTGTGATACCAAAGATAGTTGATTCATCTGGACTTTCTTGTTCATCGAATAGAGATTCTACATCTTCATCTTCCAGCTTGAGTGTGCTTATCAGCTTTGTGGCCTTTTTCTTGTTAGGACAATTTTTTGAGAAATGCCCCTTTTTTCTACAGATAAAACATCTGCTGTTAGATTCTTTTCCTCTAAAGGGTTTTTTCTTGAAAAAATTGAATTTTTTCCTTCCCCTCTTCTTAAAAGATTTAAACTTCTTTTTCTTGTTGGGTCTGTCTTTGCAATGACAACTGGAGTCTTTGCACTTAATTTGCAGATATCCCTTCTTTCACACTTGCTTATATTTGGGTTGGTCATTAATCATCTTTTTGAACATTCTCTGTTGATTACAGATTTTGTCCAAAGCAGCAATGCTAGACTGATAAATTTCTTCCATAGTCATCTGGAGAACATCTTTATTTGATTGTTGCAATATTCTCCACATTTCTTCTTGTAACTCTTCTGGAAGAGAACTTACATATGTATTTTTCAGACTGACATCATTCATACCATTGAGCTGGTAAAATTGTTGGGACATTCTTTGATAGTGTCGATCAATATCTTCCTTTTCTAGAGAACAACATCTCATCTCAAAATATTCTCTTCGAATAATTTGATCAAGGAGAGTTGATTCTCCAAGGAAGTGATATTGAAGTCCTCCAAGAAATTCATCAATGGAAGTCCTGTGAAGATTATCTTGATTTACTCGTCCCAAACTCATGTACCATTCCTTCAAGGTACCTGTCATGTTGGCACAGAATTCCTCAATAACCTTATATTGGTCTGCATCAGGATGAACCATCTTTGCATCTAACCATGCTTTGAAGTCTAAAAACTTCTTTCTCCATTGAGATGGCGGTATATGATCTAGAGAAAACAGCAGAGAACCTGTTGGGATAAGAGTATTAATTTCTTTGCTATGCAAGCCATC